GGATCTCCTGAGGTGTTTTGTCGATTAATATATCACTCGATGCAGGTTTCTTTGTACATTCCTACTAGAACATTGGTTTTCAATAATAATTCTTGTGAACGTTTAAATTTAAGTTTTTCCATACGGTATATGTATGTTGGTGTGTACTGAGAAAAATAAAAAGGATTTATTTTGCTTCTTGCGTTTCATAAGCTATTCCACGTTGTTTCGTTTATCGTCCAGTGTCACTAAACGTAAGATGTAACATTTGGTCAATTTCTGTTTTGTGATTTGAATCACATGCGAAAATAATTACAGTTCAGAACTTTTCACATCTCGGCTACAAAATAGAGTACATCCAAGCAAAACCTGCCCGGTAAAAATATCTAGATGCATTCGTTGATGCATCTAGCGATGCTCCAACAGGAGCATCCGGATAAATGAGTAAACACAATCTAGTTATCTAGATGCATCGAGTAAAAGCGACGCACTACATGCACGGGGCGATGCATCGCCTACCAATATAGGAATATTGAAACGATAAAAGAGGCGATATTTAGCGCGATACATTAACGTTGCATCGCCTTTTGCATCGAGTTTTTTTCACAGTTTCTGCATCTAGTTTAGAGCGCTGCAGCTAGTTGCAGCTAGATACAAAAAAATAAAAAACGATCTGTGCCTACGGGAATCGAACTCGACCGCTTCGTATCAGAATACATAGCATATATAGAATTTTATATATATACTTACGAAGCATCATTTACCGACTGGGCTATCCAGGCACATTGATCTACTTAATGGATATCTGTCATATCATGATGCAGATATAAAGGAAATAATTCAAACAATGAAAAAACTGGAGTGCTGCTTTGGGAAAAACGAAACAGAATAAAAGACAAAACTGTTCTGTGCGGAGTAGAAAAAGGTTCTGGGAGCGCTTATTAACTCTAGCCACCAATGGCTGGATAGTCCATGTTTTATCATTATGGATTATTGCACAATCTCAAACGAATATCACAATATACAGAAGTTTGCACGAGAACAGAGATAAGTGACAACCTCGTTGTAATAATTTCGTTATTCTCTGGTGGCTTGTGGATGTAGTAATACATTCATACTCGGTCAGTACGGTAGATATAGAGAGTACAGGTCTAAAATGACATTCTGGCTTGACCGTATTATTAATCCGAATGGTTTGAGCGTCAGTATCTCTCGGATACACATTCTACACAAGTCCAAGCATGATGTTATCATCATATGTGATAACGATTACCTTACGGTAATTCGGTCACTGAAAAGGATTCTCGATCCTTTTTGAGTTCTTTTTCTTATTTCTTTTAGAAAAAATTTACGGCCATAATCTACTAGTGTATTTATTTATTCTATTGCATCATCATATCTTTATACTTTTCTGTTTAATAGATACACTAGTGGATGCAGCTGGCTTCATAGCAAAAAGACAAAAGTTAAATCGAGCATCGCTCGATGCAGCTAGATGTGGACGACGAACTGCTAGATGCATCGACCAAAAGCCGATGGAGATTTTTAAAGAATAAATAACTGTGCATCTAGTAGTAGTCGATGCAGCTAGCTTCATACATCTAGCTGGATCTACTAGTGCATCTATCAAATGAAGCTAGCTGCATCGACTTTCACTAGATACATAGTTATTTATTTATTCGTTAAAAATCTCCATCGCCTTTTAGTCGATGCATCTAGCAGTTCGTCGTCCACATCTAGCTGCATCGAGCGATGCTCGATTCAACTTTTCTCTCTTTCCTATGCAGCCAGCTGCATCTATCATTGTATCTAGTGAATCTAGATGCATCGAGCGATGCTAGCTGCTTTTTTCGTGCTTGGGCGCTTTTGAGAGAGATTATACTCAGAAATGTCTGAGCCATAACATATCTTCGGAACACATCTTATCTCCAAAAGTTTCTTAAGAAAGCTTCAGTCGAATGACGAACAAGAATGAAGAAATAAAGCAGATTTGGCCAGCACTGATACTGATCAGTACTTAATGATATACTATGTACTGATAATAGGATGTATTTGAAAGTGTCAGGTCATCTGGACGACGATTAAATCAAAGCTACGCGGTTTTGGTGGAGATTTTGTTGCAAACTCTTTTCAGTGTGAATAAAACATAGATCACGACGTGAATGATTGGATGAGTATAGTTTATTCTTAACTTTAACTGTTGAGATTTCACTGAAAGGTAGATTTTATCCCTTTATCCATTAGTGTGGACAAAGTGTCTAAAGACGAATTGACGAATAGCAATTTTTGGGCGTAAAATGATGCAACAATTCGCATTTTACCATTGTTTTGCGAATTCGTAATTCAATGCGAAGTGATGCGAACTAACAAAAATGACCAAAAACGAACCAAAAAATTGCATCTTTTCTTCCTTTTGCCGATTCGTAAATTAAGACGAACTCGTAAGAAAGAAATTTCCGGTACCTACGAATTCCTAAATCGAATTGGTCGACCATCGACGAATTCGTAAAATGATCATTTTGGTCCGCGAGAATTCGTGTACGAATTCGTAAATTGGCAAAAATACGATAAAATGCGAATTTACGAATTCTATTTACGGATTCATAGATGCCAATGCATAACCGACGAATTCATAAATATAATTCGTAAAATACGAATTGATGTCAGGGACAGGACACCTTTCTCTGAGGTTAAAAATAGATAGGTTCGTCTCTTCTCATCGATTCGCATACTTCTCAACTCACTTCGCCGTTATTTTTACGAATTGATCAGTTGAATGAATTAATCAAAAAATGTCACAATAGACTATATTAATACATGTATGAGAAGTATTGGTAATTGGTATGAGAAGCATGCGGATCGATGAGAACGGACGAATCTATCTAAACTCAGAAAAAAGTGTCCTGTCCCTACGTAGTCTAGTAAGCGTACACATCGGTTCGCAAATGAATTTGCAGATGGATTTGTCAATTCGTGGATCCATTTTCAACCGGATTAGTTCGTAATACGAATTCGCTAAGTCATATTTACGAATCAATCTAGTTCCAAAAACAGTGAATACGAATTCGTAAACTAATTTTACGAATTATTTGCGAATTGATCAGCATAGTGTTTGATCTATTCTCTGTTTACGAATTCGCAAGAAGAATTCGTAAACGTTTTTAAGAGTATCCGTACGAATTCGATACAGTTCGCATCAATTCGGTACAAATTCGCAAACTAAGGGTAAAACGCGAATTGTTGCATTTTTACGGTTAAAAGTTGCGATTCGTCAATTTGTCTTTAGACACTTTGTCCACACATCTCCCTTTATCTACGTTACCGACTCTCGATGCTCATTGAAAGGAGTTCGCGTTGGGTATATTCTCGCTCAAAACTGTAGTCTGATTTTGTAGTCGAGAAATGTGAAATCGCATGTGCTTGAAGCAATCCGTTCTTTTCTCACTTTTTTTCTCATTGCATCGTTGAATTTTATCCAGTCCTCCAGTAACTTCAACTCTGAAAATCTTGAATTTTTTACAATGATTCCGAGAAAAAAGTCTTATAAATCTCACTAAAAACACTTATTTAACCTGATCGGAAAGTCAGTTAGTTACGAGCGGTAGGTCGAAGAACAGCTTCTCTATGCTGTTCGTTAAGTTACGAATAAATAATTTATTTTAAGTAGTTTTCTAAGGTGCAGGTAATTCAAACATCGAGTGAGATTTTTTTTTGCTTTCCTCTTACACCATTTGATAGAGTGTGAGCTGCTGATCACGAAAAACTACTTTTTAGCCTTAGCAAATACTTCCTTCCGGTCGAAAAATACGAAATACTGCGAAGATGTCATTTTTCGAGAAAAACACAACTTTTTAGAAATGTGCAAAATTTTCTACTTTATTCATTTTTTCGGCTTCTGAAAATAACTTTTTCAGATTCAGCATCAAAAGCTGAGTACAGACAAGTCATTAAATCGACTCTAGACTCAAAACTCTATTGTTGGTGGCGCTTCGAACCGCGTCGAACCAGACACATATAGGTCGATTTTGTAACCCTATCTAGTTTTTCTGCATACGTGATGGAGCCAAATATTTTATCTCATTCGACTCATCATACCACCAGTTACAAAGTTATAAGACCAATTTTTTTTTTCTTTCCTGTGTTGAGAAAAATTGCTTTTATTGCTATCATAAGACAAACGGGAAGGTCATTTTTAAATAAAATGCCTATTTTTCGTTCAAACCAAGTGAAAATTTGTTTACATAGGTAAAAACTGATGACAACGGCATACTTTCTAGATCCCCAGAGGGTCTTCAAGAGGTCTGTGGAAAACCTTTTATTGAAAGAACAGTGTTTCTTATTTCAATCGAGATTTCATGATCTTTAATCGACAGATTGATCTGTCATCATGTTTTTCTATATAATATAAAAATCTCTATGTGCAAGGAAATAATTAATAAATTCATTACGATGTTTCACTACATCGTCTCTTTCATGTCCTTCGAAATATGGGCGTTGTGAATTCGCTTCGAATTTAGCTCCCGATCTGCGAAGTACTAGGTGACAACTTCTTTCGGATCTTATCAAATCGTCGCCATTTTGCTTTTTAATTCCTGTTAATTCATAATAGTTTTCATCAATAAACTGAGCCAAATCCAAAGCCTTGAATTCTCCCGACTTTTGTGAACACGCTTGAACGACAAATGCTTTTGCATCTGCTTCAATCTTGGGAAACGTCACACAAAATGAATCAATTTGTTTACCACCACGTAAATCATTTGAAAATTCTTCATAATCTCCTTTAATAAACACTGTCGCCCATTTATCAGAAGTTTCCGCGGTCATAAAACTAATACTCTTCAAATACTCATCAACATGTTCCCGCTTAATCTTGAAGAAACGTAACGACATATAAAGCAACGTACTAAGATATTTCGTGTCACATTTCGACTTGCACATTTCAGTAAGATCACTAATGTCGGTTACCAAAAGTTTGTCTTTAAAACTTAATTCTTCGTCATCAATATCCATTTGATATTCATCATCGGATGAGTCACTTGCATCCGAAATCTTTACATCTGACCCGCGACAAGCTCTTGCAGCGTTAGACACACAAAATATGCGTTTAGCATTCTGCCTTAATGATGAATGCATTAAAAAATTTGGCGCTTGCTCCGCGCTGAACAGAATTGGATAAAAATTGGGCGCCAGATGCATAATTTGTAAATATTGTTAAATATAAAAGCTAGTGAACAGTATGCGTTGATCATACTCAATAACACAAACGAATCTATCACACTCAATAACACAAATGAATCTATCACACAAAACTGTCGTCAGTTAGCCATTGGAAAGAGCATCATTCAAAACCCATAAGAGATTTAACCAAATCCGTCGGACTCTTCATACTGTAAAAATTGAAAACTTTCTCATGTTACACGCGGTCCAAAAAGCAATTTTAAGCCATCAGAGAGAACCCAATTTGAGTCTATGCAAATGCTGTCTTGAACTGCAGACTTTATTGCGAAAGCATAAGTTT